CCCGAGAGAACAGAGCACATAATGGCATCGTTTAAGAAGCACACCACTACTCATGTTAACTAAGTTACTTTGGCAAATCATTTTTATAGGATCGTAACTTTGTGTTTGTACGTTTTGTGTGCTTAAAATTATTTTCCTTTTCATTTCCGGTAGATGCCCTGCGGATGAGGGTTAAAAACCTAAAAACATCTCTGTTGTAATTTACTAATTGTTTGGTTGATATTGTTTGTGAAATATTATTTTTCCTCCTGTTATACTACACAATAATGAAGTTCCACAATATTTCTGCGGAAACCACCGAGTTTATTTTACAGTCCTTGATGTTAAAAAACAAAGCTTCCTTGAAAGAATAATGGAGAGGCTGAGAACAAAAGTGAGACAAGTGACATTTGTTTAATAATGAGATAAAAACACATTGAGATAGGTCACAGTGATATTTATTAGGTAAATGATCCCAGTGTTCAGTGCTTTAATAAGTAACAATATAAACACTTTACAAAAATTAGAACGTTTTATTGAATGTTGAAAAGCAGTTTCTTTAACACGTCCTTGTCACTTCCCTGATTTTTGTTTTCAATGCCTCAATTAGCACTTATACATTGATTTTCCGCTGAAGGGATGAAGTTTCACACATTGAAATGGCACTCGAAAACTATGTCGAGCAATCTGACACAAATGCAATGTACTCAGAACGTTCTAGAATAACAAAAAACTTCGTGTTGTTCCTTTGCCATCAAACTCATGAACAAGTAAGTGTTTCGAAGGGGAAAGGCTCATTTTACTTGCAAACATTTGTTTCATCAATGACTCAAATCTTAGTACTTCCCCTCGAATACTAATTAATTGCAATATTTTCTCTACGAGTCAATTATGTCTCATCTAATTAAATTAAAATTTTTCAAATTACTAATTTATAGTATTGTCCACGTATAGTTTGGCGGCGCCTTCGCGGCAATGCTATCGCGGAGCAGCCACTAGGGAGCCACTTTGGATGCGGTCGGTTTATATTGGACCTGAGAGCTGGCTCACGATTGGTATTCGTAGAACTTATATTCATCGTTGAAACTATTAGTTGTCCGTAGAGTATTATTCAGCTTCCATAGTTTTTCCCTTATGCATTTTCCCCTTGTGGAAGGGAATACCTACACCATTTCTTCCGAAATAAACTACCATCTCTAAAAGTTTCAGCCGTCAGTAAATGAGATTTATATCGGAGACAGGGCAGCTGACTCTTTTTCGCCTTTAATTTCATTAAAACTAACTAAAAAGCCTCAATATTCTTCATGTCTTCCGGGCTGATGGGCCGTGGTCCAATTGGCTCTGGGATGCCAAAGCCTACAATGCTGTATAAAAAGCCTCAAGTAAACCGACCCGACAAGCTGCACAATGCATTAAAGATGCGTTACCCCATCTCTAGTCGGCAAGCATATATGAAGTTCCCTGCAGTTGCAGAACGTACATTGGCGAGGTCAGGGGCACTGTGTCCGAAAGACTCAAAGACCACATCGCCCATTATAGCAGGAACAATACCAACCGTTCGGCTATTGCGCACCACTCCGAGATTACGAGACATGCCATAGACAAGTCCCGGCTCCTTTACAAAGAAAACCGGTTCTGGCCGAGACATATAAAAGAGGCACTAGAAATAGACTGCCGCATACCTCACCACGCCTAGAAATGTCTCCTAACATCCATCCATCCATCCATCCATCGATCAATCCATTCGGAACCGTCAATTAGCTGTCCAACGCCGTCCGACTACGGGGGCATCTGGCGCAGGGTCGAGGTTGGCCCAGACCGCTAGCCAATCACGGCGCACCTGCCCCTCCCGAGCGCCCAGGCAGGATAGTATATAACACCGGGCACGTGGCGCCGTAGTATCATTGCCCTGAGAAAGCTTGCTACATGTCAGGCGAAACGTCGGCCTCTCAGCCAACGACACAGCGTCGGGAAGCCAAGCATTTACAAATTGTAGGATCCTCGAAAAAATTACTATTTAATTAAATTACTTTGCTTGGAATTATGTTCATGTCAAAACCATTCTGGGTTTATTCTTTAGGTGCGCCCCTGAATTAAAATTCAACAATTGCTTGTCAGCATTTTAAATATACGACCCTAAAAATAAAATTATTTTCATACAAACGTCTCTGAATAACTTTTATACTTAATAGAGTAATATGCCAATCAAAAGTACCATTGGTTTTCTGTTTGCGGTCACGACGTGAGGAAAGGAAAACTGTTGGAAGGTTGTGAAGGAAGCAACGCTGTCAGATCCCAAATCTTTATTTAACCCAGCACAGCCCGTGTCTAACGTCACCAGCAAAAGTAGCTTAGCGCGCGGTGGCTTGTGAGCTGTTGGAGGAGGAGGGGCGGGCGAGTGCTGCGCGTGGCGGGGTGCGGTGGCCGCCCAGCGGAGCACAGCCGCGTCTCGCGACGCCCACGCCTGCCTCCACGGCGAAACCTTAGCGCACCCCAGCCGTCGCCTAGGCATCGTCCTCTTCGGTACAGAGCCTGGTGACTGCGAACGCGCGAGACACTCGTCTCACCTCGTCAGCGGTCAGCAACCGCCAGTTCAGCACCCTTTTCTTTCGGTACCTGAAAGCGCTGCTTGTTAACTCTTTCACTACTTACCCTATTTACATAATGCAGATACTTTGAAAGCACTTATTGATTTAAGGCACGACAACTGCTAAGGTCATTAGCCTCTGAAGTGTAGTGCATTTTTTTTCTCGTGACGTGGCGGTGAGCTTGCCCCGATGGATGGTGAGATCTGGCGCCCGAGCAAGGTACCGCCCCAGCCGGGGCAAGCTCTAAGCTCCCGACTCGTTACCCGGCAAAACTGTATTAGCTGGAGTTGATTATAACCCATAAAGTCTTCGTAGATATTTAATTAAAAACTAGTTCAGGAAAAAAAACACTAAATAAGTGGTACACCGACCTCTAAATGTCGATATACCTTGCATTGCTGAAAGCCTCTTAATGTCTATTTTGTTCTTATTTTCTTCAATTTTCTTTCAGTTCCCTATCTCTCGTACGTGTAATATCGAACGTCGTAATAATCGTCGAACATATAATGCATCATTGTTATCTTCTTTTTATAATATATTTATTGGTGAGTGAGAAACTGTATAATTCGATTTAAAAAAAATCAAAGGTATTTAAATTTTTCAAAAACTCAATATTACAAACAATATCTCTATGGTATATTACTTACCTCATGATTCCGTATTGACGAACAAATTAGCATTTAGATATCCTGAACCGTTCATAAGCTATGAGGATTACTCAAATTCGGTCTGACATCTGGTATACTATCGTACTATTGTACGTTTAGAAGTCTGGCAACTTGACCAACCTTTCACACAACTCAGAGTATAGTTCGTCACTGTATACGTTTGCTTCACATGAGATTACAGTATTAAGAGGAAACGCTTTGCACATTACCAATTACCTTGCAGAGAAAATAGGAGCAATGATTAAAAACCCCTTTATAATACTTTCAAACCTCTCCAAAAAAGCCGAAAATAATATCGTTGCCCTCCCTTCGCCAATTAGTCTGCATTTTCCTTTCCACTGTATTATTATAAAAACTGATTTACTGGACGGAGAAAATGTCCGCTTAATACGGATATTCATAAGTATAAACCATTCGTGATCTGTTAATCGCATAGCTGTATATGTACTACAGTGTGTGCCTATCGTATCGTCGAAGTTCTTTAACCTAACAAGTGTTAGTATGCATGTTCCCAATATAGATTAGCGCAACGAAGGAGCTAGCACGGCAACACTAATGGATTAAACTAGATCTTTTATTGTGACTTAATATATTTTATTTGAAATCGTTTTAGTTAAACAAAAAATGAAACATAACATTAGATTACAGACATATTAAATAGTGTTTCTCATTGCTGCCGCGACGACTGTCAAGGCAAGTAGTTTGCCGTCCGGCGCACCCACGAGAGTGGTTTAAAAATAAAACAATCAACAGCAGACGAATATAAAGGTACTGTTGGTACAAGTGAACCGTTAAAAAGTCATGATCTTTGTGAATAAAATGAAAAATAGAATTATTTTGCTACTATGAAATTTATATGAAGCAAGATGAGTCAAGGCTCTGGAAGATAGAAATATAGTTTTCCAAATTCAGTGTAACATGATTCTCCCAGAAGTCATATCATCTTGTTTCTCATCCTAAAGAAAATATTACGATTGGTTTACAAGGCCCATTATAGTTTCGAAGGAGTTTTTCCCCGTATGTAGTATGTTTTACAATTTGGAAACGGGAAACGCCGCATCCTTATCAAGAGAAAGTGTACATCCGTGTCAAGAATGTAATAAAGATAAATCTTAAGATATTCTGCCACCAAGTACGAAACTTAATTGCAGTATTAATAACAATTCTAACAAATACGCATAAATAAAGACCTAAATAAAAAAATGTTAACTCAAATATTTGGTAAATTAATTTCTGAAACTGCAGCGCAATGCAAAGCTCCAACAGCCAAGGATGTCCAAACCTATTCGTGATAGTCCTGAATTCAAAGTATTTGCTACAAGGCCGATCTAAAAGTGAATAAAAGAACCAAACAATGATCTGAAATATCAAAACTAATATCTTTGCAGAGTCAACAAGTAATACACAACTCGTGGAAACACTTTTCTATTTTGTAATTCTAATTTCCACCTTCATATAACCACAAATATTTTTAGTTCACATTCTGTAAGACTGAAAAATGCTACAAAAAAAAACTTTGCAGGCTACATTTGTATATTTTATTTCCTCGTGAACGTCCACGTCAGCTTCGCCTCTGCTGATTTCCTTCACTTGTGGAAGCCATACCCACTAATTCCCACCAAATGAATGACATCAAGTACTAGCTTGTAAAAAAGTTAACTTTGCTCTTCACGCAGACATACCAATCCACTCCCACGAAGAAAAGAACGGGAGAGGGGCGGGGAAGAGGGGAGGAGAACGGGGAGGGCAGTAGAAGCACACGTACCTGGGCACGCTCTGGGCGAAGCGGTCGCGCAGCTTGCGCTGCATGCCGTGGCTGTCGCTCTGCAGGGGCGGCCGCATGCGCGTGCGCAGCCCCGCTTGGCGCTTGGCGGGCGACGCGACGCCGGCAGCGGCGGCGGCAGCAGCGGAGGAGGCGGCGGCGCCGCGCCCTTCCGGCGCCTCGGGCGACGTCGAGCGCCGCGACAGCGACGGCGGCCTAAGGTCCCGTCAACCGAAAACCAACACGAAATGCACACGTTCAAAACATCAACACTCGCAAGCCCAATCGGGACAATAAATTAGTGCAACTTCTTCGAATGAAAAAATATATATAAAAATAACCTCTTCACTCGTGCTCAAAACCTGCTGCAATCGCATATCTTTTTAGATGTAAAAAAAAGAAGTCAAACTGAAGGTAGTAAAAAAGGTGGAGAGATGGACACAGCAAGTGCGAGGTAGAGCGAGGAGGGAGTGATAGATGTAGGAAGGGGCGGCCGTGGGGGACACGCGCACCAAGAGCTGGGAGAATAGACTGGCGGATGCATGTAAAGAGAAAGGGGCATAGGTGGGACGCACACAGGACACGGGCGACGTCAAAGACGAGGGCTGCACTCGCCGAAGGATGCATGAAACGAGCGTTGAGAGGGAGAGCTGGGAATAGAAATTATTAAATTTAGGGATGGAGTCAATTAGGAATGAATATTATATATAGGGAATGAGTGTTATAGTAAGAAAGATGAGATGAATGGATGGAGGATGGGTATGTTCAACTATTTATTTCAATACAATAATACCTCATTTATCAGTTATCTTGCACTCTTAACACGGAAATTTCTCTGCGCGCCATTCTCCATCTAGGAACGGAAGAATGTTTTACTCTGTGCGGTACGCCACACGTTACACCACCGATGCTTTTGAAGACAGTGAGGGCTGGGCGTAGCGAGAGACTATGTATTTCGTAGTCTGAGAGGGAGGGCGTAATGGATGAAGACAGATGTAAAAGGATGTAGGGCATTGGGGGGTATTTATTTTACATCATGGATGTCTATGAATTCGATCATCAAATCTTATGAAATACGATCTGGTACGTATGCCGTGATCTGAAAGTTTATAGAAATTATATTATTTGTTCGCCGGGACGGACACATAAAATTTCCACGCTTTTTTATGAGATTCCATGGGTTTCCAGTGCGAGAGAAATTACTTCTTAGCCGAAAAGAATACCCAGCGAAAACGCAATACGGTGCCCTCTAATATAGTATTACAAAATGCTGAAACCCCCGCTATCCCACTAAAAGGTACTGGTTTAAGGATTGAATTAACAGGTTGGAGCATGGGATTCATTAATGAAGGTTGTAATTGAATTTAAAATTAAATATGTTTGAAATTCGTTGGGTCGCATGTTTAGCCTGATCGGTGACAATTTTGAGTAACATCTTTTACATAGTTTAGGCTCTAGCGCTGTTCGGAGACAGACTGTTCGATAATAAACCATCACTAGAACATCAATAAAACATTTTCACGTAAAAATACGAGGCAGATTTCGCTTTTCAGGATTACGCAACTATTTAATAAGTTTTCTCTACTATGTTTTGTATTTAGTATAAATTTACATTAAAATATTATCAAGGAACTGTTTCCTTTTACTTCACAGCTATTACTGAAGTCATTTGTAAGTTCTTGAAGCATCAAAATAATTTGGCACATTGCTGATTTTGGTAGAAAATAAGATATTTATTGTAAATGTTTGTTATATTTAATAAATAATATTCATTGTAAATAACTACAAGCATTGTGGCTTACTTATAGTTAATTTTCATGCCGAGAGTATTCATGTAGGTTCAGAAGATAAAATTTTAAAATGTATTTCTCAGTGTATTTTGCTTCAAAAGAAATTCATATGAATAGACCCAAATCAAATTTGCGGCAAAAATTGAAAATCCGCAATAAAATAAAATTTTGCCAATTAGCGAGCTGCACGTAATCAGTACATTTAATTGGAAAGGTTTGAGTATTCAATGTTAATTATAAACCACGATACGAGGGTTTCATAATAATTGATGGGAGCATTCGTTTATCCTGGAGATTAGTTCAATGCTATTTCACTGGATTGTTAATAATAGCTGACAGCGGAAATTGACTCACTTCATTTAAATAAGAATACGAATTAGGCAAATGTTCACATTTAAGGTCTTTAAGGTGGCATGAAAGAAAAATAATTTCGAAATGCCTTTTAAATACATGATACAATTTGAAAAAATATTCTGAAACAATTACGTTTCTGGAGTCTACGCATTTCTCTTAATAGCCACCACTACTTTACAAATAGTCTCTTCCTAAATAATGATGAGTACATTATTGTTATTTTCTATGGACTGGTGATTTTGCATTTAAAAAAAAACTAATTTCTATTGCTTGAAAACTAACCACCCATCCCATCTATTATTTTTACAAAACTGTTTATTGGCATTTCAGTAACTTAACATAATTTGTAGATTTCTAAATTGGGGGAATTTTATTACGTGAAGATTTTACATAAAATGTCCGACACAATCATTCTACTTTGCAATGAAATGTTTTGAAGGAAAGCCTACATTCAACTCTTCGGCAGTATTTGAAGAGCACTATGTAGCATGGTATTCATAACGCCCAACGACCTCCAACAAAACTGAGCTCTATCCCTTCCCTCCATTGTTTATAAACAATCCTAAGGTGCAGCTCTGCTCTGGTCATTCGTTTCTTCGCCTCTATCCGGCAGGAGGCTCCAATCGGGCCACGTCGCCCGCGTCAGGTGTCCCGCTTTGACGTATAGTTAACAGTTTTCTATGAGGGATATTGCCATGCGCGAGTGGTCATTCGACGAGGGGCTTTGTAAACAATCTAAATATTATTCTTACAGAAGCGGATGGTACGCAATTCGTCAGCAGTAAAAAATTACGCCAATGATAAAACATTTGTTTCTGGACTATTTTGAAGCCAAATGATGGAAGGGACCAAGACAAATCCCACATCGTTTAAACAACTTGTGTAAAAATTTACGATATTGGTTCCAAGAAGATCCTTCATCTACGCTTCTTGGAATTCTTATGTTTAAGCTTTAACGAGATTACAAGGATTATTATTTGAACCAGCAACAAATACCTCGATCAAGTAAAAACTAGTGAAGCTACAGCAGCAGATAGTTTCTTGCATTATTGCAAACTTACGTAACATTGAAAGATTGCAATTTCTTTGCTACTAACAATTCAGAGATTGCATTAAAACGTCCAATTTACTCTATTCCAACAGCGCCCCTTTAGTGTATATCTCCTTTCATTTCGAGAGTCAGGAGAAACAATCATTTATTTCTTTTTTAAATGAAACAGGAATAAATTTAACTCTTACAGTAATAGCAGCACATTATACATAAAAGCGAGAATAATTTAGATAAAGATTTAGTCAAAAACTGTAAAAACTATGAGATGTATGGGGGATAAGATCATCTGCCCACGTTTTCTTGAGTTCCAGAATTTCTTCCCATCATTTTAACTATAAATAGTTGAAATATGAGTAAACATTGAAGATAAATAAATCCAAATAAAATTTTATGAAGCGCGTGATTAGCAACATTTGAAAAACCACACATTTTCGTTCGCGAGTTATAGAAAACATTGGCAACGGTAAACTAACTGCAGATTTGACTTTTCTACTTTGCGAAAAAAATAGTAACCTACCCTTACCTCTACTCCTACCATTACAAACAAAAGGGGAGTTGAACATAATGCGCGCATGGTGAAGCTACGAGGGTTGCCTTCTATATTTCAGGATTAGAGAACAAAAACAAATATCATAGAAATCATCGAAAATCACTTTATTGTTTTCCAAAATATTCCCCATGAAGATCTATACACTTTTGCATGCGTTTGAACCAATTATCGAAGCACTTTTGC